TGACATACAGCAGTTTGTTCCACCCAAAAGTGAGGGCAAAAAACCTCCAGTGCTTCGTAAATTATTTACTAAATATATGTTGAGATGAAAGGTGCGTACAGAATGCAAGATAAATACACATCTTAAACAAAGGAATAATAAAAAGAAGTGTAACTTTTTGTCAGCAGTTTGCAGTATGTACTGTTACAAGCATAACCAATATCCTAGCTGTGTCTTCAAAGACTGAGGTCATACCAACACAATTCCAGAAAAGTCCTTTTGCACTACTGCTGAAAGCTGTATAATGAGATATTCTTCATGGTAAATCTTACTTCTATTGCTCCATAATAGCAGCATTTTTCAATGCTGCACTTACCAGTGTCATGAAGAGGGAATGTGCTAACACCATTTGATATCCTCCGTTTTTGAAAGCATTTAGTACTAAACAGTGCTGTGTAAGACAGAACAAGAAGAAACACCAAACAGTACCAAGACCAGGAGGGACACCTGTCAAACGCGTCACATTGTTTCCCTTATATACTCATCTTACAATGTGAATTCTGACTGTATTTATATTCTGTTGCTGTAAACTAATTTCCTCTAATCGATATGAAAAGTTGAAGTTTTTCTGTGACTTCTCTCTTTCCACAGAGCTTCACTCAGGCAGCCATTGGTGGTCCATTACCCACATTGTTCCACTGAAACCACGTTATAATGGAATAAACACAAGCTGCCAGAAATTGTGGATTTGCACAGAGGCTTTGGGAAATCTGTGAGTAGACTTTATTATATGGGAAGACAGACTGCACAAAGAAACACCACTCAATGAGCCAAAATTTAAGATCTTAAAAGTTGCTACATCTGAGCTGGTGAACGCTTTTTGAGAATACAGATCTCTAGGCTTTGCTAATATGAAAACCTTCTTTGAAGGATAGTTTAGCTATGATAACTATTTCATTATGAAAAAATATGTTTGTTTTATAAAGATTAGGTATTGATTAAAAAGAGTTCTTACTACAAGAATAGACTACATATTCATGTTACTTAAATAGACTGTAAACCAATAATGTTATTTTCCTTACTGAAACCAGGTTAGATGTACTGTAAGGTTCCTGTAAAGCACTAGAGAATACCTCAACGTCTTAATTCTTTTTTATTCTCTTCCAGTTCTTCACTGAAATGCTCTTGCATACCATCCTCCTATTTGCCATAATTTTTTTCTTTGTTATACATTTTTCAGCTTGTACATCCCTCTGTAACTGAGTCAACTGGTTGCTAGTATGTACTTACTCACTAATTTGGCAGTGATGGACACAGTTGCATTTTATAAGCTCCTGGAAAGCTGTGGGGTTTTGATGACCCAATCATTCACCACAGGCCTACACTTCTTTTGGCATTAGTTTTCTAACCAGAACTCATTGGGTAGGTTTCTAACTGGCAGAGTGAATTCACATTGCAAAGATCACCCTGAAATTTGTGCTTGGTAGTTTGCATGTAATGTGTGCTGGAGTAGACAGTATTTGTGTGGTGAAAATAGTTTATTCATTTGGCACAAAAAGATATGATAATGCCATTCATCAGAAAAACGTACAGATGGCAGTTGGATTGTCTCAGGAAGGGTTCATATTCTGTATTCTCTCTCTAAAGTAAAGTTGTCTTATGTGGTTTTCACGATGATTCATCTGATGCTGACTTGTGGGCAACTACAGTGCTAAGAGCCTAGTGGGGACAGAGAATACAGCCTGGCAGACATTCCAGGACTTCTCTGATGTCCAAATTTGCACTTTCAGCAAAAGCTAACACATTTCCAGATACATTCTTGCCTATTCTGACTTCCTTTCCTGAGATCTCTGTGACGTCTTTCATTCTGTTGTCATCTGGAAACATTTTATGCTTCTGTTTGAACATCAGTTCATAAATCTCTCTTGAAAGAAGGATCATTCCGAAGACAATTCTTGAACTCACTGTATCTACTCTCTTGCTTTGTGTATGTTCAGTATGTGATCAGGAAAATCTGTAAGACTGACTGATTGACAGACTGACGAATTCTACCTAATTCGTACTCACCAGATGTAGCCAGTCATATTCAGCACTTCAAGCAATGTTCTACCAATGTAAGATCTTGCGTTTCTAATTCTAAATACCTGAAGGTTTGCATGAGTCAAACAGAATTATTCAATAATATTATGTCTCTCACCAAGTTTAAAGATATTTCAAACCTGAAAAAGTAATGTAATATAAACAGCACAAAAACTAAACATGAGATAAAAAAGAGTGGATTGCAAGAAAAACAACATTATGGAACACAATTTGCATTCTGGATGCTATCTTGGAAAAGAACAGCCTTTGAAAGGTTATTACACATTAAAAAAATCTACCAAACAATACAAATAAATGACTTATTTAAGATGGGTTCACTTCAGACGCAGTTTATTACCATCTGCACTACTAGACTAAATGGGAGTAAAATTTTCAAAAAAAAAACCCCACTTAAAAAGATTTTCTCCCATTTAGTTCCAACTAGAGTTTTTCTCCATGAAACAAAAACAGTAACAAACAAAATTATTTTAATACACTGCCATACAACAAATAGATAGTGTACCTGCCACCCCCCCTCCACACACTCACACACACTATATTGTTTGAATATCAGATATACACAAACACAATATATTTGCTATGGTTAAGACAGAAATTGAGCCACAAAGATAGCTTGCCCCATACAGTACAAGAGATCTACAAGAAAGGCAGGAATAAAATTCAATTCTTGCAAGCCCCTGTTTTAACCACATCATCCCTTTTAAGAATTCCCTGTAGTAAAGAAATTTCTTTTGATACAGACTTTTTTTCTTTTCAAAAAAAGCTCTAACATAGGAGCAAACACTGCTCTCTGATTTTTTTTTTTTTAAGTGCTTTCAAATTTATGCTGGCCTAAATGTAAACAGAAGTTGCCCTATAAGTTTTACAAATACTTGGCTAGACACCAAACACTGCACTTACATAAGGCCATATAATCACCTGACACTTGTAGCTGCCTCGCTGATTTTCCAAGAATTTTAATCCTCTTTTCCTGAAACTATCCCTTTAGTGAGAAAATGTTTATTCTATTACTGATATGCTTGCTTTGGAGACAAACAGTTTCATGTACCAAACAGGAGAATAGTATTTTCCACTCTCAAACACCAGAAACCAAGAGATTTCTTTGTACAGCAAAGTACAGAGTGTGGCTTGTCATATAAAAGGGCCCATTCCTCAACTGTGCACTCCCAGGCTGTTTCTAGGCATTTAAAAGCCTTTCTACAGAATAATGAAGCTTCCCAGCTCTTCCTTCCTGCCAAAGAGACCGATCATCATGCCAGCAAGTAATGCACATAGCTGGTGCACAGCAATTATGAGACTGTGCAAAGAGCAGACCAGAGACAGCTGCTTGATGGTTGGAGGCAGAAGTAACTTGAACTTCCTATTATCATAGGTTTGGGTTTTATAGAATGTTTAAATACATAACTAACCTATTCGCTTCGCTTTAGTTTGTATTTTATGTCAGATATAAAATGTAATGGGTCAAATCCCTAGCCCCATGAAGTCAATGGAAGTTTTAACTACAGACTTCAAAGAAACTAAAATCTGTCTCATTATTACTCAAAATGTTTCTGATTAGTGACTATACAATTGGAGCTATTCATTAACAATTATTTTGGTGTCTGGTTTTTTGCATGTAATTTACACTTACATCCTTTGTAATAATTAAAGGTTGCTAAAGTGACAACAGAATGTAGTAAGAAGTCTCTGAACCACAAATTGTGGGAAGCCAGAACAATACTCCAGGGAGTTACCACTTCTCTTTAAAAAGGATTATTGCGTGCTTCTCTTACAACAACAGAGTAACAGATTGGTTCAGATTGGAAGGGACCACTGGAGATCTTTGGTCCATCCTCTGCTCAAAGGAGGGTGAACTAGAGCAGTTGTTCAGGCCATACCCACTCAGGTTTTTAGTATTTCCAAGGATGGAGGCTCCACAAGCTCTCTGGGCAACCTGATCCAGCGTTTGACCACCCTCACAGTAAAAAATATTTTTCTTATTTTTAAGTATTTCAGTGTGTGCCCATTGCCTCTTTGCAGTGGTGTCACCTTGTAGTTGTACGTATATTGGAGGAATATTTGGAAATCTCCACTGTTGCAAAACCACCAGCATAACTCCACTTCAGTTGTACAAAAGACCACTCAAAACATCATTCGCTGTCAATCACTAGTGTGTCAAAGCAAATTTAAATTCCCACCATACTCCTACATAAGCACTACATACTTCCTACTATTACTCCTGCAAGCAGTTTTTCCCTGAAACACAGATCTATCTTGTAACACTTCTACACCGTTTGAGGTTCCAGAAACCAGAAAGGTCTTGTCATACAAAAGGGTGAGTGAGGAAATGAGCTGTGCCTAGAAAGTCAGAGCAAATTCTTAGAAAACAAGTTCTACTTCTGTAGCTGCATGATCCATAAAGTAGGAGGAAAAGGAGAGCATGAGATTAATGGCCGAGAAGAGCCACTGATGACTCCGCAGCAACTACCACCCTGTGCTTTCCAACGCTTCCCTCCCTTAACATCAGCAAAGCAGCAAGAGAAAGGGGCTATAGGCTGTACACAGTGCTGCAGCTCTGGCACAGATGGAACAGACAGCGACTGCTCCCAGCAGCCTAATACCCTCAGCATCTGCTTCCTTTGCCTATGCCCAAAGACAGTCTTCAGTGGAAATTTCTCTAGTGCAAAATCAACTGGTAGTTTGTGGCTACACCAGGCATTTCATTGTTCTAGCACTTGTGCAGATACAACGGTTGAGGTAAGAGGAGAGCAAAAGGAACAAAACAGTGCATGGGGACTCCTCGTGCTACCTTGTCCCATTCTGCTCTGACACAACACAACTGGAGGCCACCAAAGGATGGACAAAAGTCAGTCACTTAAAAGCAAGTACAACTGCAGGAATACCATTCTGTGTGAACATAAGGGATTCCATACCCTCGCCTAATGCCTGACATACCCACAACCTCCAATATGAATGAAGCTTTGGCGACGCAGAACTCAGCTGCCTTCTGTGGGGATTATGCAGATCAAGTGTGGAAACTGTCCTGTGGTACTCATGAAATTCAAACTCTGATAACAAACCAAAAGGAATTAAAGTTGCAGTTGTTTATTAAAATTCCTGCCTAATTTAAACAGTTACGCATAATGGAATGAAAACAGTTAAAAAATGAATCTGTTGTTCCCTGTTACTAAAAAATAGTTTATTCTTTTTGTTGTTTTCAATAACTACACTGTTCTGCTGAAAACTGAATCTCCTAAATAAAAAATGTAGTTTTAAAAACTTCACTACCGAACTTATACTAAGTAATTATTTGAAAGGTTGGCAACAATCTCTATTTTTGTCTTTATCTTCACTTTCCTAAAAGTGCAGTTCTTTTACATCCAAACATATATTGCTTCTGGGATGCATTATGTACAATGGGAAGTCATTAGAAAATTGTTTAAAATCTTAGACCATTAGTTTCGTGCAAATAGAGCTGACTTCAGTTTCTTGCTCGAAAGATTTTTTGACAAATAATGTAGCAGTTAACTGCCAATTTTCTAGTGGGAAAACTAAACATAATTTCAAACTATGATATTTTGTTTCCTCCATCTCGTCTGAAACATTGTTCCCAACTAGTTTATTAAACACTGAGTATATCTCCAGCTCAGCACGTTTACCAAATTAAACAGGAATTCAAACTTCCATTCCTTCTAAGGGCCAAGCCTGCAGGTAAACAACATCTGCCTGGAGATCTCTGGATTTTCTTCTGCATCGTGAGAAGTACGTTCTGGCCAGAGAATCTAGCTCATACAGCAGAACAGGCACATCAAGCCCCTCTAAAATTCCCATGTGGTACTGACCTAAAATGGAAAATGTTGAGAGTTGAATTTACATGAAATAAAGCATGTTAGGTCAGTTGTTGATAAATAAATAAAGAAATCCAATTTTAGGGATGCGTGTTTGTGTGTCCGTCTGTCTGTATCTCGACTGAGTGGGCAAAAATTAAAAAATTAACTTTTGTTCTATCTGGAATGAAAGAAAAAAAAATTGGACACTGCTTTAGAAAAAAAACTTCAGCACTACCTAACACCTTCCATGAATGGAATTTTTGACGAGTATCATGAATTTGCTTGACAATTAATTTTTCTTTGCTCTTGAGCATCTTCAGAGACTTTTTTTGTAGGGCCTGTTCCTAACTCCAAGAGACGAGTAGTGGAACTACGAGATAGTGTCTCTGCTGCAGAAGAAATAGCAGTGGCTTCTCAAAGCAATATGTACATTTTGATAGGGTGGTGCTGCCAGCGTGTAATATTGGCTAAAGCAGGAATACAGGTATGCACAGCTAATGCTTACTAATGAAACTAATGCTGATGTCTTTGGAGGGAAGCTCATACATGTTACAAACTGTCCAAACGATCCTTTTCTTTCCTTTAACCTGTAACATGCAGCAGTGATCCTGACCAGAAGACCATTGCACATCGAGGAGCTAGTGACCCACACGGCAGTTAACCTGAGGGGGTCCACCAGGCCTGTGCTGTACACCCAGGTTGACCTTCAGGCCTGTGTTGTGTGGCACATACCCCTTGGCTGCAGGATAAACCTAGCCAGCTCATTGCAACCGGCAGCTCCCACTTGGTACCAACCGTCCCACCACCTGCCTGTCCTTCCCTTTACCTAAAAGTGGAGCAGGGAGTTCTCATGTGAACATCCTTTCTGTTTGACAGTAGAAATGATGAATCGAGCTGTTTAGTTGTAAGAAAAGCCTATAATAGCTCGAATAACCAAAAGGGGATAAGCCTTTCTAAGACAGGACCTGCACAGCACGCTGATCGCAGGGAGGATAAACTACTGAAATTTTTGGAATGCAGAAAAGCACGCTGTATCACTTTTACAGACAGAAGTACAAACAGGGACAAAAGTAGTAGGTTTGTTGGGTTTTTTTTTTTTACATTTAATAGCACTTATTACTCTCTTCATTTACAACTACTTAATTTTTGTTTCAGAAAACACCAAGCCTTACAGAAGCTAATGCAAACTGTTTTTAAAAAGGTTGTAAATACTTTGTTCACAGGCACATACATGTATTTTCATGTATATATTTTAATTTTAATAGGATAATGACATGAGAATTGTAGGAATGAAGTATGCAGTGGAAACAATAGTGGAATCTAAGGTAAAACCCAGTATTCTGAAAACCAAAATTTTCAAAAAAATCAACTGACTAGAACACCTGAGACAATGACATTGTACAAATGCTTATTTAAAAACAACGATCAATCATTCTATAGGCATTGTTATTTCTCATGTAAATCACCTTAAAAATTATGATTTTAAAGCAGGATTTCTTAAAACAGTCATTCTGGGGAAAAACTGTTATTTGCAGTAAGAATTGATAAAAATATTATGGCTTTCTATTGAGGTCTACAGAAAGGTAGTCATTGTCTCAAAATGGAGCAATATCAAGACTGAAGACTCGTTCCAGATTTACTGCCACATGTTCTCATTCACATGCTTCTGTCTGGGGCAGCAAAGGAAGGATCAGAGATTCCTTCTAGATATCACTGTGCTCCCAAAACGGTGGACACAGGGAAATCTGAGCTGTGGTACAGTCTGAACACAAGCTATATTTTTCTTTAGGTGACACCAGAAAGCAGGAAAGTAGCCACATCCATGACTTGACAGCTTTACACCATCTGGAAAGAGGCGATCTCAGTGAGAAGAGGGGCAGCTCAGTCCCACTAGTGTAAATATAATCAAAGAGGTTTGCAGTACATCTTTCGAAAACATAAATGAACTACCTTCCCTTTTGCTTCCACCTCCTTCCCAATAATTATTTATTCTACCTAAATTTCCCCTCTTTGAATACCTGATATTTCTCTTAAAATGAAAGCCTTTTTTAATGAGAAAGCCAACTAGATAAATTAGACTACAGGCTGCCGCCTTCTTTGCTCACGTTTCGCCATTCTTGACATGCGGACTCCGATATGCTGTAATCTATCAGCGTATAGCTTATTCAGAAACCTTTCATTTTGATGTATTATTGTTTACATAACCATAACAGTTTACTTAACTCAGCTACTCTGCCTAAGATACAAATCAGCCCTACAATCAATATAACCCGCTTTTAAGCCCAGAATCAATTACTGGCCTGACTATTAATTTTGCAGAACTGAAGAATTCTGAGAGTCTGTTAGCCCCCAGGCATTAGTACTGTAAACATCAGAGTATTCCACTCACCATTTTTATCAAGGTAATCCAGGTATCAAAAAAAGCACCTCGGAGAGTAATTTTTTTTTTAAATAAATGTTTAAATGTAGTAAAGAAAAACATGTTGCACCTTCTATTTCTACCATTAATAATAAATATTTACATCTAGTCTACATAGTTAACTTTTGGCTTAGATTTATGGCCAGGAATTGGGGTGTTAAAGCAGTCCCAGCGGGAGGATAAAAAATTACAGGAGTGATGAAACTTGACACAGTGAGCCATACATCAAGTCTCCACAATTGAGAGCCCCAGAACACAAACCAAGTACTTGGTAACAAGAAGGCTCTGCAATGTGTCACAAAGGAAAACAATGACAACGGCTTGTCAGGTTTTCAGTTCTTCAGTGAAGGACAGGCAAGAACTGGGTGTGGGGTGGGGCTCTCAGGTGATTACCAATACCCCGCAAAATGCAAACGGGAAACAGATCCAGGATGCCAACAAACCCCTGAAAAACAGCAGGATAAGCTGTTCACTCAAAGCATCATGATTTTTTTTAATTAGAGGTAGAAATACAAAGATAAATAGAGTATATTATGTGATTTAGAAAATACTCTCATATGCATGGGCTTACCACAGTCTTTCAGCCCTTGTGAAACCCTTCCTGGAAAATCAGGAGTTGAGGGACACAAATCATTAAAAAAGATCCCTAAAATGTAATGCTTATATATAGTGTGACAAGGAGAGAACACGTAAGACAGACAGAATCCATTTGGGATGGGCTACTTACCACAGAGCCACCTGTGAGAAAGTGTGATCAGCCTAGACTCATATGACTGAAACTTTGTACCACTGCATGGACAAATGATGTCCAATAGATGTTGGAAGGAAAAAAAATTGTTTTATTCTGTTTTTTTCAGGAATGGAAATTAAATTAAGATGTTCTTTTGTCTCTACATAGATCATTTGTGGACAACAGCCAAAGACCAGATATTTATTTATCTTGCTGTATAAATATGGTGAAGGAGAAAGATAGGTAGGAGAAAGACTGAAACACTAAATGTTCTTTACACCGTCATGCTGAAATAAAGAATTTGAGAGTGCTCACTTCTCTCCTGTGTGATCCCGTGCTCTGTTGAAAAAACTAATGGTCTCTAAATTCAATCCTGTCATCTGCTGTCTTTGGCAGAAGTGATATAACAGTGTACATTTCCTGCACTACACTTGTAGGAAAGGTTGAAAAGATGTGGCTGTGATATCCCAGCCTCTAGTGCACAATGTGCTGTGTCATGCTACTGATGTTCAGGAAGCAAACAGGACATAAGTAATAGTAAATAGCTACAAGCCAAAGTAGAAAGGCGATATTGAACAGTCAGAATAAACTGTAACATTCATCTTGTTGCTAAGAGGTAAATCATTGCCAATTAGACCATTTAATTAAATAAATGCTTTCTGCCACCTTGATTAAGTTTAAAGTAATCACTTTTTGTCCAGCTCAGATTTTCTTCACATAACATTACATTTAGTAAAGAGTAGTATTCATAGTCTTTGAAGAAAATCGATGTATTGTCTGTTCTCATTGATGGGAAATAGTTGCCCAGCGCTCTAAAACCTCTGAAGGAAGGATGCTCACTAGATAAGGAAAAAGCAGACATACACGCAAACCCTATGGAACTCTACAAATGAGAAATATCTAAGACAAGGAGCAGTCACTCTTCTGATCCTAAAGAGTTAATCTAAGAAGAGCAAGTAAATCCAAATTTTGTAACTATATCAACTCCTTTTGAATTTTTAAAGACTGGTAACTTTATCATTACCTATCTGGAAATTCAGTGATTTATCTAGTACTAGCAGCACTGATGTGCACTGTCTGGTTGTAGGCAAAGGTATTTGACAATCATGGTCAATAGCATTATACCCCATTCCAGCCTTAAGTCCAGTACAGTAGTAACAAATAATTTTTTTTTCCTCACTTACCACTATAAGTAGGGTGCAAAGTAATTTCTGATTGCTCTATGCATTTCTTAAAATGTATTTTAATTGACTGAAACTCTGAATTTAATTCCACATTTATTACTGACTACCCAGAAAAGAAACTTTTTTCCAAGAGGCTAGATATCAAGCATAATAAGCTTTTTTCCTTCCTTCTCCCTTAGTTTAATATTTAGTTTTACAGTACAGGCATACTTTTAACGCAAATATGATGTAATAACTGTGATTTTTTTCCCCTTTTTTTAATTGTGTAAGAATGAACAGCAATAATTATTAGAAATTAATAAAGAACTCTATTTGGCAAAATATATTCAAAACTAAATGTATCTCAATATAATTTATCTCAGAGGATGATCATAAGTAGATGCTAAACATCCAACTTGATAGCAAGGTATATATTAGAGTGCATATATATATCAGAGAACATATTAGAAAATATTAGTGAATATATTAACAGATACCAAAATAAATTGTTCTTTAAATACCAAATTATAACACAGAACACATATCCCAATCATTATCTTTTACTTTTGCTACACATTCTTTTAAAAATAACCAGCTTGTACTTCTTCTTTAATGTGAATCCATTAATACCCAGGAAAAAAATTTTAGTATGTGCAACACAACTGTTAGCCAGCAACTTTCAGCTGAAGGAAAACATCCTGATAAACTGAAAAAATGCTGATTTATTTGCTTTTTGCCCACCTTCTTAGTGAGCAATTTTTATTAAAAAAAATCCTTCTTTAATGAAAGTCTTTTTAGTACTTCCTTAGCTATTATTCTTTTTGTTCATTATGCAGTTACAGTCCTGCACTGAGCTTTAACTTCAAGAATAAATAAGTGATTATTCAGAGCTCTGTATCTCTTTAAATTTAGTATTTCACGCTATAGGTGAACTAGTTGAATAATTACAACATATATTAATAGGAGCAAATATTCCACTGAATATTTAGCTATTTTATAAATCTGTTGATCATATGCAACTCTCCTACCGGGTAACAATGGCAGAAGGAAGGAGTCCAATCAGTCCAAGGATTCTCTTCCTAAAGAAAAAACAAATATGACTTATGTCATATCTGGAGCTAAATTACTTTCTTAAACTGGAGAAATTTAAAATAAAACCTTCTTGATCACATTTTTAAGTTTGTTGTCCTGCACATGTAGAAACATTCAGCTATCTTTTGGAATGCACAACCACATATCACGATATATGAGAAAAGAAAAAGTACAATGAACATGAAAACAGGGAAATGAGTGACTCCACTCACTGGTGTTTCCAGGATAGCCAATGTATCAATTCCAAAGTACAACAGTCAGATTTACCGAGCCCCGCTCATTAATGGCAGTTGATATCAATATCCATACGAACATATCCATATATATCCAAACATGCCAATATTAAGTGTGACAACTGTGTACTGTGTAGTATGTTAGAAGGGGATACATTCAGTCCCAGTACAAGCAAAGGAATGAGTTAACTGGACACTTAAAATTATGTGATTGCAAACTGTTTTTCAGTTTTCTGTTTTTCCTTTCCCAACAAAGAATCTAGAACGCCACATGAAATACCCATGTATGCTATACAGTATGTATGATGAAGTTTGGTACCATCCTGAGGCATCATGGTTGTTTAATGCTAGTCTGCAAGATATGCAGCAGTGTTACTGCGACTCCTTAGAAACTTAACTCGGGCCAAGACACAGACACCTCAGCGTGCTTACAATTCACAGCCTAGAGTCCTCTCTTAACTGTAGGATCCAATTACCATTCTGTTAAAAAAATGGAGCAGGGCTTGCTGTATTCTGTGAAATCACAGCCAGGATAACAGAAGGAAGTGAGAAAACAAACGCCTCCCAGACAGCAACCTATTGTTGCTGTGTATCCCCATTAAACAAAAAAGATTCAAGTCAACATATGGCAGAAAAGTGATCCTACCCAGCAAGAGACAGGGCTTTTGAAAACAAAGACGACTCTGCT